TAAAATATGATCTCACGTGGTCCTTACAACAGCCCTGGGAGCAGACACAAAGGAACAAACCTTCCACCTCTGGGCTAACATCATTTCTTAGATTACTATAATGTAACGGAAACAACTGGATTTGGAGTCAGAGTACCTGGGTTTAAATCCCAAATCTGCCTGCCTTTCATCACTTACCCCACTCCAGGCCACACTTTCCTCCTATGTAAAATGTGGGAGTTGGACCAGATAACCTCTAAGGTCCCTTTCCAACTCTAAATCTTTATTTATGTTTATTTATTTATATTTATTTACCTAAATTTGGATTTAGGGCTATAAGCTCGTTAAGGATAGATAACATGTTGTACTGATCCCTTATTTATTTCTGTATTTTCCCTATCACTGCCTTCACCAAATCTCTACTCTAGTTTTGTTTCTGTTTCTCTCTCTTTTTTTAAAATTTTTAGGCAATTGGGGTTAAGCGACTTGCCCAGGGTCACATAGCTAGTGTGAAGTGTTTGGTCTGAGGTCACATTTGAACTCAGGTCCTCCTGACTTCAGTGCCGGCGCTCTATCCACTGCGCCACCTAGCTGCCCCTTGTTTTGTTTTTCTGAAGCATGCAGGTGATTCTTGATTTTTGATGGTATCATTAATAGAGACAATGCTCTGGCAGCGCTGTCCTACTGGAAAGGATTTGAGTCTGGGCTGATGCCAGGGTCTTATTCTTTTAACCCAAGTTTAGCCTAGTCAGTTTGATGAGACTCAGCATCAGGTTGGCCTTAAGTGATTGATTCATTATTCACCCACTGCAGTTTTCAAAGATCATGTACTGAATGGGAGAGGAGGTACAATTTGTGTTGGTAGCAGGGATATCCAGAGTGATGGGATCACAGATCACTGAAGTATTCTCTTATAGCCCAGCATATAATTGATGCTTTATGACCCCTAAAGACCACTACACCACGAATTCATCACTAAGCTAATTCTTTTTTTCTCTCACAAAAACACATCTGACTCCTTTTTTTCCTTTTCTTCCTTTTTTATTTTGCATCACTATTGCTCCTTCCCTATTTCTCCTTATTCTCAACCCACTCCCCCCCAAAAGCTCTTTCTTGTAACAACTAAGTTTAGTCAAGCAAAACAAATTCATACACTGGTTGTGTCTGGAAAGTGTACATTTCAGTCCATACTTCCAGCCTATCACCTCCCTGCTAAGAAGTATCAAGTATGCTTCCTCATCAGCATTCCAGGGTCATAATCAGTCATTACATTGATCACAATTGTTTCTCTGAATCCATCTTTTTTTTTTTTGAGGCAATTGGGGTTTAATTAAGTAACTTGCCCAGGGTCACATAGCTAGTAAGTATCTGAGTCTGGATTTGAACTCAGGTCCTCCTGATTACAGGGCCAGTGCTCTATCCACTGTACCACCTAGTTGCCCCTTGAATCCATCTCTTTCAACATGTCTTATGGCAAAATAACATCCAGCCTTTCTTTCCAGATGTGTCACAAATTACTCTCCCTTACATACTCTACGCTCACACAAACTGGTCTACATATTCCTTGTACATATTCCATCTTTGCACAAGCTGTCCCCCATACCTGAAATGCCCCTTCTTCCCTTCAAAGCTCTGCTCAAGTGCTACCTCCTTCAAGAAGGCTTTCTTGATTCTACAGCATCAGTAATGAAGCATACTAGCTACCTCCTAACAGAGGGTGTGATGGATGCAAGTTGAAGAATGAAATATACATTTTCAGACACAGCAAAACTTGTTTTGCTTGACTATGTATATTTGTTACAAAAAGGTTTGTTCTCCTTTATTCTCAAAGCAAAGAGGGGAAGGGCGATATAGAGAAAGGGAAGCTAAGAATAGGTTGCCAAAAAGAAAAAAGAAAGAGGGTCACAAACATGTTTTTGAAATGGATTGAACAGAAGAAATCACAAACAAGCAAGACAGCTTTGAAATCTGCATTTTAATTTATTATATACTTAACAAAAAAGCAAGTTGTACATAATAGAAATTTGCATTTTGTGCACAATTTTCTTTCTGTTCTACTGTATATAAGGAAATGTTCATTTTAGATAATATTTAAGTACAAAATTTTTTTAAAGGGGAGGAGTAAAGAAGACAAGCAAACAAAAAGTGGAACACTTTGAGCCCTCAAGGAGCTTACATTCATTCTTCAAGGGTAACACAAACTGTTCGCAGATAAGTAATCCAAATGCATTTTCTCCTCCCCTCTTCTAAGGCCCAAGATAAACCTGAGCACTAAGGTTGGAATTCTCAGAAACACCACTCCCATTCCCTACCAATTTCTTCTATTCTTTACCCTTTAAATCTAACTTAATGGAGTTAATCCATTTCTAATCTTTGCTCTTGCCATACTGACTTCTATAACCCAGAAATTTATAAGAGTGGTTATTGGGGATGGGAACAGAAAGCTGCAGCCTTTCTTTAGTCCAACACTCAGGGAAATCAATGTTAAGAGATTTTTGCTGCAAGTATCTAGCCTTCAAGAAGCCAGGAAGGAAGGCAGTTACAATCCAAGTATTTATGATTCCTCTAAATACAATGACATAGCAACTTTAAACAGGACACTAAACTCCTTAAGCTTTGACACCCAGTTATGCACTATTCTAATAATACTCTCTCTCTGACCCCACAGGAAAGAGAAAGTGTTTACCTCTTTGTGTTCTACAGATCAAAGAGGAGCCAAATACCAAAAAGGGAGATTTTCTGTCTTCACACCTCACACAGTGAGCCTGCGACCCTTATTTCCAATGATGTGATAACACTTGGTTACAGTATTAATTCTCAGAGGTATATAATATAGCTTAGTTCAGAATCAAGATGTGCTGAATTATTGAAGATACATAAAAACTTTCAAAGAGCTGCCATACACATAATGTGGAAGTCTACTGTATGCTGGCTCATACTATCTTCTTTCCTGGGACCTCTCCCAGTCCCTTCAGAAGCGTAGCTACTTCTAGGAGAAAGTTCGTTCATAAGAGCCTCCACCTAACCTCAGGCCCTACTACTATCAAGTGTGAGGAACAGGAAGATTAATTCTAAACATTTAATGGCAATAGAGAACAACAGGATCTATAGTAAATTCCAAAGCTTTTGAATTCTGTGAATCCACTCAATCAGGAAAAGGGCAAACTGACTGGGGCCTAAGAAGACTGTAGAAATCCACCTTGTTGAACTGAACTCAAAGAAGACACGTGGTCACTACCCTGGTCTCCATGAACAAGTAGGGCACAGAGTATGACAATGAGGGAGTCAGTTTGCTACAGAAAAGTCAAGGCAATAAGGAAATACGGGAGGAGTGCCAAAAACCAATGCAACTAAGTCTCCAAACAATTTTTTTAAAAATGAGATAATGGCCATATAAAGGAGCCTAACAATGAGCCTAAACCTCCTTCTGACTGCTTTATATCCCTTTCCTCCAATCTCTAACTCCTTGTGCTGTTCCATTTCCTTTTAGCAAATTTTGTTTTGGTTTGATATTTGCTTCTTGGCCTCTGGGAGGATTTACTATGCTTTGTTTCTCTTCTTGTTTCTAGGATACCTGAGCTAGCTTCTACAGGAATAAATGCAATGGAAGCAAGAGGGAGAATGGCTTAGAATCATCAAATAGGGGAAAAATAAAAGGGAGAGAAAGAAACAGCCTGTTCAAGCAGACAGAGTTTGGTACCCTCTATACAGTCCAATGGATCAGAAAGAACGATGGGTCAGAGGGTGAAAATCGAATCCAGCTTAAAATATTTAAAGAATATCCACAGCATTTAGAAGGAGCAGCTTTAAACTCTAGGAAGACGAAAGGCCAAAGTGTAAGCCAAGGACACTGCCCAGAGCTGACTCATATTAAACATTCTCAGGCCAATGTAGGATGGCCACATTAGGGTACCCTGGGTTCCTTATACTCCTCATGGAAGGATGATGACACTTGCAATTCTCCTGGGGCCCCAATGGCACACAAACACCCTTCAAGGCACAAGGCCTTGGAACAGTGCAAGCAAGAGAGGGGAGAGCAGGACTCCCTGTACTCCAAGGACACAGAACTTATGAAGATGGCTTTTCCTGCCTGCCTTACACCTCAAGCAATAATATAGACAAAAAGGAACCACACTTCTCAAATAAAAAAAGTCCCCAGTGGAATCTACATGAGATATCCCATAGGGAAATCCTCCAACTCCAAAGGTCATCTGTCACTATTTCTAAAGGATGAAGAGACTTAATTGTCTTTTTCTTCAGAGACAGCTACAGCAGCTCACACAGATCTTTGTACAAAAGAAAGGAGAAGGACTAGCTCAGAGGAGAGAGACCAAGAAGCACATTGAAGTACCCTGCCACAGAATGAGCCCTCTTTATTTTGGGGTTTCTACTGCTCAAGTGTCTGACAGATGGACAGCATGGGAAAGAAATGAATCTTGACAGCAGACACAGCTCCACACAAAGAGCTCGGGCAAACCTAGCAAATCATACACCTACCTGTTAATACATTTAAAAGAACGGCTACAGCAACTATAGCAACCGTTCAGCTCTGCTGTCTGGGTACCAATGTGGATGTACTACAAAATCCCTGAGGGTCATGTGTTAAGGAAGAAGCACTAGTACCACATGCACAGGTCCTCTGATGAAGAAGAAAAAGGCAGTGAGATGGGAAAGAACAGGCACAGCTCATTCTGCTTTCTTTCCCTACCACTGACACCTCTCAAAGTGGCATGGATTTGGTTCTAGAAGATGGGCTGAGAAGCCCTGTACATCGTGGAATGTGTAAAAGAGAACACTCATTCCTTTCCCCACCTCTGCCCTTCAACCATACTCTTATCTGCACCTGCCCTTATATCAATTCTACAGGAAGTCAAATGAAGGTCTTAAATTGAATATACCTCTCCGACAACTTGGTAACTTCTTTCCCCTAGAAAACCAAGAAGCCTGTGCCTACTCTCCACTGGCTTCGAGTTCCATAGCTGGAAATTCCCTTGCTACTAGATCCCCTCCCAGAGACTTACCCAGCTGGGTATGCAACCAGACCTGAGCGGGGGTCACAAGCCAGTCCTCTGCCTCCAGACACTGTTATTCCCAGCACCTTCTCCAAGGTTACCTGATCAAGGAAATACAACAATGAGACAAGGGAGAAATACGTTAACCGACGTTTCTACATGGGGCTTAAGAGTTGTTTGTTGGAAATGAACTTGCCCATACTCTGCAGTGCTAGTTGCTTTCAAAACTAGCCAGCAACCATGACTGGTCTCTTCTGGGAGTCTACAAATCAACTGGCTTCTCTACTTTTCTGTAGAAAAAAAGCCTGATTAGAAGTTCTGCTGAGCTTCTTGATCACACAGGAATGAACTTCTAGGCAGTGCTTACCTTTAAGAGGGCTTAAGTCTGCCAACTCAGGCAGGAAAGAGTATACAAGTTAGATTTCATTCACAACTCACAACCGTGGAAGGACAAGTGGGTAGCCTGACCCAGGGTTAGTTTCTACAGGACAAAATGACAAACTGGACTCCTATCTCTACACTATCCTACTAGGAAGTAAGCCTCTCTTTTGGTGTCTCATCTCCTCACCTATAACCCAAGGAAAAAAAACACCCAAGAACTAGAAGGCTATCTGGATTTGGTAAATTCTAACACTCACATCTCTTCATTCCAGTCATTCCCTTATTAAGAGAGCTCCAAACTCCACAAATCTCTCAGTCCAGGACACAATATAAGTCCAGGAGACAGAAACAGAGCCTAACTAATAGTGTGTTTTGTTAGACAATAGTGCTCAGTTACACTAATTCTTATTATTAGGCTAATACATTCTTGCTCCTCTCAAGAAGATGGCAGGAAAAAAATATGTCAAATGCTTTAATTAAGATCCCAAGAAACATAGGAAAAACATAGCTATCATCATTATTCCCATAGTTTTCCCAAAATCATCAGGTCTTCTCTCAAATAAGCAATAACTACAGCTACAATCAATTAGGCTACTCTCTTCCTGCCACACAATCATATGTTCAATGCCTAAAGTTTCTCTCACTTATGTCTCCACTCCACAAGGTGCCCTTGCCCATCTACCCACCTGCCTTATTCTAGCTCAGTAATGCTCTCTGCTTCACTCAACCTAACAGGGATGTGACAGAGAGGAGTGTTTAGCTGCTCAGCATCCATTCTCCAAGGTGGTGGGGTTTTAGAATGGCAGCAATAAAGGATTAGGATGCATCATACTATAAAAACCCCCAAATCAAAGACATAGTTCTGAACCATGTCTTAGGACCACAGGGTTTCTTCCCAAGCCCCACAGAATCTCAGAGGACATCAGGGCATCCAGGATGTTCCCTCCACACTCCCCCCCACCCCCCATGATTTGCCCAGATCTAGAAATTCTAATAGTATTGATTGGAACTTGATTTGAATCTCAGAATAGAGATAATATGTATTAGGAACACACTCTCTGTACTAACCATATAATACCAGAATAAATACCCCAGAACTGTTTCACTCCAAAATCACACAGTAAAGAGGTCCTTGGAGGAGCTTTTGAGTTTCCATAGACCGTAAGCCAGAATAGTGGCCAATTTATGTTTTTTGGCAATGAGTGCTTTAAGTAGGGGACTCTAATACCCATCTGGCAGGTACTGAGAGACACTTCAGGATTTAGGTAGGAGACTTCAATGCCAATCTGGCAGGTTTAGAGGCACTAGCCATTACATGGCCTAAATAAGAAATTGACATCCATTAGGGGGATAAACCAACCTTGGCTTTTTCCAAACCATTCTTGGTAGTTCCCCCCCCTCCCATGAAGTGAACCTATGCCAAGCCTCATTTCAAACCCTAGTTACTTCTCATTCTGCCCCTCTCTCAAATAAGGTACAGTCCAGAGAGCCCAAAATACATGGGTAAATCAATGAGGAAATTCACCTAATGCAGTGGTTCTATTCCTCTAACCTAAGGGTTATTATTAGCACATTACAACACCTGTGTTACATAAGCCTGTAAGTTAAGAATAGTTTTCACATTTCAAAATACAGTAAAACTTTATTTATAAATGAAAAAATCATTCTTAGCTTGCTGGGCAGGGCTGATTTGGCCCACAGGCTGTGGTTGGCCTACCTGACCCCTGCCTAACCTCCCCACTCTGGAAGAATGACAAACTCTTCCCTCAGGCACTAAGCCCAGAACAACCCCACAGAAAGCCACACTTGAGATTTCCTACTACACCAGCCTTCTGTTATAGGGAAGACACAATTAGGCCCCAATTAGTGTAATAATGAATTCCCCCTGAAGTGGCCACATGTATTCAATTCAAATTTGAAGTTAGAATTATGTAAAATACAAGTTTCATATTTCCAGTGGAAATATGTAGTATGAATTTGAATAATGATAGTAATAACTGAAAATAACCATTTCTGGGGATTACCAGAACAAACAGGGACCTATTGTTTTGACCAGGGGTGGGGAACCTGTGGCCTTCTGGCTCCTTGGGTGAGGCCTTTTGACTGTGAATCCAAACTTCACAGAACAAATCCTTGAGGCTGCCGATTCCCCAACCCTGTTTCTGACTATATCTCTCAAATTCAATCTAAATTAGTCCATCCCAGCTAGTTGGCACAGTGGATGGAGGGCTCTGCCTGGAGTCAGGAAGACTCACCTTCATGAGTTCAAATCTGGCTCCACATACTTACTAGCTGTGTGACCCTGGGCAAGTCACTTAACCTTTTCCCCCTCATTTTCCTCATCTGTAAAATGAGTGGGAGAAGGAAATGATAAATCACTCCAGTATCTTTGCCAAGAAAACCCCAAATGGGGTCACAAAGAGTTGGACACAACTGAACAAGGCTCTTTAGCTGCAATCCTTTACAATTCAGGGCTTTTATGAGACTGGATTAAGGAAAGGCATAGTATTAGTTCTGAGGCATCCTACTCTCTGACAAGATTTTGGTGGGCCCAGGGATGCATTTCGATCTGGAAATAATTTTATAACTATTTTGGATTTGTTGGCTAGCACTCCAAATCCAAACTTCTTCAAGGTCTTTGAAAGGAAAAAGAGGACCCTGGGATTATTTAGGTCTAAAGAACACTACAACCTCTTCCAAAAAGCAAAGGGAGCGGCAGACTCTAATCTTTGAATGCCCTACAGACTTAGTCATTTTCCTTCCCATAGCTTGGGGATAGTGGACCATACTTCTGGCTGGGAAAGCCCTGGTAGGCAGGAGCCTGGTTCATTTTCAAAGGGTTTGTAGAGTTTGTTTTTTTGTTTCTCTGGATTTCTGGCTGGCCTTTATGAGGGGAAAGGAAAGCAGAGTTATTTCCCTTGGCGGTATGGAGAGGGGAGGGCAGGGAAACCAAAATCAGAAGCATCAGCTGCTTTTTATTTTATGTTCTTAACTCAAACCAGCTTCCTGTTTGCAGGGAGGTTCGGGTTGGACTTCACTTTTGGAGCAGCTGCTGTCCTGGGGCTGCGGCTCAATCTCAACCACTTGAGCCAAAGGCTCTGTGGGGCCTGAAGGCCCAGGCTTCAGCAGTCCCTATCACCACCCCTTGGTAGAAGTAGTACAGTTCCTCTACACTCGTAGTTGATAGCCTCAGTAGATTCAGAAAGTTTATCTACAAGAAGGTTTTGAGCCCAGATAGAATCACAGCTCCTCCCAAGCACAGTACCAACATTTGATCACTCCCACTCTTCCTATCAAGGCACCCCAGGAGAGCATCAAGGCAAGCAAAGAAAGCCAAGTGAAGAAACCCTTCAGCAAGAAACCTAGAGAGAAAGACCTAAGTCCTTTTGCTTTCCACAGCTCACAAGCAGCTGGACAGTACACATCCTTTGTAACAGGATTTAGACGGAGCCTAACCTCAGAAAGGTGGCAATCACTGTGCCCTACTCCCATCCCCCAGTTTTTTTCTTCTGCTCTTGTAAGATTCCATATGAGCGGAAAACAGAGACCTGGGTCACCACAGCTGGATGAAATGGGGTTTTCTGACCCAACTTTGAGCCAAGAGGCCCAGGTTCTCAGAGAAATAAGCCCTCCCTACCAAAGTCCCTGCCAGCTGCTCAGTGACTACCCAGATTCTGTCCATTATTGTGCAAAGCACTACACAGAAACAGTAGAGAATGGCTAAGCACTACACAGAAACCCAAACTGGCTGTGAGTAGAAAAGCAGTGGCTTAATAGTTCTGCCCTTCCCTATCCTTCCCTTATGTCTGATTTCTTCAAGCTACTCCATTAGAATTCACCCAGCCAGCAATGGCAGTGTAGAGAACAATTAGTAAATACGACTTGTACTTTTGCTCATAATTAAATACACACAAAGTAACAGAAGCACAAGATCATTCACATAATGCTGCAGGAAATGTTATTCCAAGTGCAAGAAGGAACCTGATTAAGAGCCTACACCAGTAGTTAGTTACCCTTGAATGCCTGCCCGCTTTCTTACTGTCACTCCCTTTCCCAAATCCAACCCTGTATTAGTCCCCATTATCTGAGTTCTCCAGTTCCAGGGCTGCTGAGCACTGACGGAGTAAGTTGTACAATCTCAATGACTGGGTCCACTATGAATTAATATTCAGCAACCTCAACCCGGCCTTTACCAAAGCACAACAACACTTTGTTCAGTCTTCGCTGACTATCTCAACTCCTCAAAGTAACTACTCCAGATGAAGCCACCACCACTTCTCTCCTTCCTTTCAGCAGAATAGCTTGCATACACACTTCACAGGAAAAGCCAAGGCACTGGGTCATAGGTTCCCTCTCCTCCTTGACTCTACAATTCAAAAACCCAACACCATTCCCCATTCCCTCCTTTGCTCCATTCTAGGAGGAAGAGTTGGTTGGCCCTCCTTGCCAATACCACCCCCTAGATTTGTGTCTTTGATCCCATGCTGTCTCCTGCAGCTTCCATCTTTATGCTCTGCATTCTTGAGGCCACATGTGGCCCTCTAGGTCCTTGTATGTGGCCCTTTGACTGACTTAGTCCCTGCAGCGCTCCTACCGACTGGTTCCTTCACAGTAACCTTCAAAAGACCACAAGATTGCCAACATCCTTTACTTGATCCTAGCATTCCTCAAATTAGCATTCTACATCTCTTTGATTTCACATCCAAAATCCTAAGAAGAT